GGTCCTCTTTTAGCACAACATGTACTGCCGGTCCTGCACCATTCTTCCACATCTGCCCTCATACCTATCCAGTAAAATCTCTTCTGTAGGTGACTCAATGTCTTCTTAAAACAAGATGTCCTCCTGTTAAACTATCATGGAATTGACGCATCACAACTTCTCGTAACTGTCTCGGTATAACTGTTTGCCAGGTCGTCACTTTCCCATCTGCAATTTCCCATCTCCAGAGAAGAATACCATCTACAAACTTCAACTGGTCCCATTGTGCCCAGTAGTTCTTTGTCACAGGGCTTAAGCTAGACACCTTCTCCCAAGCAGGGTGCAAAACACTTGTTTTTAGAAAATCAATTATTGGCTTCAAATCCTGGTCTTTCTCCTGCTCTGCTTTAATATCTATACCTGGTTCCACTTCACCATCATCAACTCCTTCAGTCACTTTGAGTTCAACTTGATGACACCTGGTTAGTTCAACCTCGTTTTTAACATTTGCTGGAATTTGGCCTTTGTTATTCTCAAACGTCATGTTATCAAAATGAACTACACACTTCCTCAGTAGTAAGTAGTCTACCACTAGTATGAATGGGTCTTCAATATCAGCCAAGTATACTTTGTGTCTGTCCTTCATTCACATGAGCTAAATAGTTATTCACACTGGTCCCCACAACCTTGCACAATGTCCTGTCACACCACAGAGCTTCTGTATGGCTTCTGGTACTCCTTTGTGGTCTAGCGCCTTGATACTCACAAGGGTTTGCTGAGATGCAGAATCTATGACAAAGTTGCACTTTTGGCCATCCAGCTTTCCTGTCAAATAGACACTATGTGTGCTTGGCATTTTACACCTAGCTGTTGGGACTTTCAAGGTGGTGGTTGGTAAGCATCCCTCAACACCAACCACTGCTGGTTTACCCGAGGCTGACTTATTGGTAGTATTCTTCTTACACTGACTCCTCATATGTACTTGCTCTCCACAGTTCCAACAATCTTTCTGGCATCATCCTGTGTTGAAGTTGCTGGCATTGAGCTCTCTTGTGACTAGATTTGTTAGAGTACCAACAAAGTCCATCAATCTTCTCTAAAGCTG